CCCCCAAAACCCCAAAACCCCAAAACCCCATCACCTTAAAAGTTGGAAAATACTTGAATATAATTTTATTCAAACTTCATATAACATAACAGTATATTTATTATTGTAAACTTGCTTAATCTGCATTCAACAGTGACGATCTAACGACACATTTGACAACTTAATTCAAACTAGACTGTATTCTTTAGACTGTGAGACTATCACATTCACTGTCTCCTCAATATTGTTATCAGGATTTTAATTATACTTTAACCTTGGTCGGCTGTGATTAGTTGCCTTTTCACTACCAGTGTCCTTGACTTAGGAGTCTTGAACCATGATATCACTTTCACGCTTTCTACCATAAGACTATTAGTAGGAATTAGTGCCATTGCTCATTCCTTTAGTCAAAGAATACTAATTTCTATTTGCTCTCAGTTATAGTCCAGAGGAAAATTGAATTTTATCTTAAGAAGGAGTTTGGAAAAGCTTGACCTCAAGCATATCATTGAGATTTTAAATCAGATTTTAATGCAGTAATAGCTCGGGGTCATCTGTGTTATCATCAGGTGTTAAGTTTGATGATCTGTAATTCATAGCTATGGACTAGTCAGCAATATTAAGGTTGGAGTCAAACGACTTTTCGTCCATGTAGCTGTAGGGGTTAGTTTAATGATATTAATTTTATGCTTGGACTTTATCTCTAAAGGCTTAAGGCAACTTAGGAGAGCTCTTAATGCCTCTTCTCCTATACTTAATAGGGGAACTTAATTCCGACTGTAGTTTATTCCTTACTGATTCTAGAGCGTTTAACGAAGACTGATTGTAGTATTCACTCTTATCACTGGATTCATTTACAAAAGAGTGATGATGGTTTTCCTTATTCAGATTTGAGATCAGCTCTAGTTGAGTGGATTTCTTTTTTATCTAATTTACTTCTAGCTTTGGGTCAAGAAAAGGTCTATTCATGACTTACTTAGCGATTTGAATCAACTCTGATTTCTTAACCTGCTTTCTTTTTTGAGATAGAGTATTTATATTAGTTACTTCAATTACACCCCCACCACTTATCATATTTGAAGGCACTGAATCCCTTTTTCCCTGCACTTAGTTTAATATCTGCTAAGTTTTGTCCTTTAGTACCTCTCTAAGCTAAGCTTGTTTGTAAACGCTCAGAGGCTTAGGGTTGAAAGTAAAATTAAAATCTGAAGAGTTCAAACCGTTAGCTTTTTTTACATTTTCCATATCATTGTAATTACTTGCTGGTTTTTCGTTTTAAGTATTTTTAAGCTTTATTGATTGATTGAAATTTTCTTTGTATAAAATTGGAAGTCTTGTGTAAGATCTTGAAGAAGGCAGATTTTCTTTTTGCGCACTAGATTCATTCAATAACTGCTTTTAGCTGTAAGAGAATTCTGTTACCTGTGAATAGTCCCTATGCTGAAAATCAATGTCGACTATATTGTTTCTACCAGTGCTACCAGTAGCATTTGAAAACCCATCATTATATTGCTGGGACATCTTATAGTAATTCTGATTAGGCTTTAGTAAAGATCCACGATCTGACTTTTGTTGTTTATTTATTGGTATTTTCTAAGGGGAGCCCTGGTTCATTATATTTTGAATCGAAATATTCTGTAGGTATTTTTTGTACTCTATATGATCGCTTTTGGTTTATGAGGAATGATGGTGATTACTATTAATGTGGTGATTCCATCTCTCTTTATGAGATGATGAATACTCATTCACTTAGATTTAATGCTTCTTTACCGAATCTATTCCACCCTTATTACTTTAGACTGGAGTCTTCATAATATTTTCCTTATGTTATTCCTTAGATCGGATACTGGAACTCATGTGATTATTTCCTCCATTATTTTTCGTAATTTCAGCTTGTTATGATTGCTAATACATCTTAACTAATGAGTTTAATCTCTCCTTTTTATCTTTGGTAAATCTTCCGAAGAAAGATTTCTTGAAGTTATAGTTCTATCTAACATCTGGCAGATGATATTCATTAATAGGCACTTATTAAAGCCCTGGTTTGTGGTTGTTCTCACTCTTTTTCATTTAATGGATTTTATAAAGAAGAATTCGGTCCTCTCTTGCTTTCTTTATTCTTTATTTTTAATCTAAATTGTTTAATTTCAAATTTAAAATACTCTGAGTGAACGAACGAATATATATTTTCATCTTCTCTAAGTCAATTTTAAGATTCTTTATGGGGTTTTGGGGTTTTGGGGTTTTGGGG